GGCAGTTCCAACTTTGCAAGGACAGTCTGGCGCTTCTGACTCACAGACTGTAAGTACGTTTTCATATTTAAAGGATTTGCCACTGATGATTCAAACGTGAGTTTTGGGCAGTGTAGAGTAGCACTTGTTGTTTGTCATTTCTCCGATCACAAATGCAGACATGGTTTTATGTTTACGTGGCGCGATTAGCAACGCGTAAAAAGACAGTATAAGTCATTATAATCAGTAATTATGTCCCCACTGGATGCAACAAATGCCTCGTTTATAATGGGTTTTATTGGTGCTGTCTCATCGCGCCGGTACACGGCATCACAGTACGGTGAGGGGTGTAACATTTCCGTCACACGCTTGAGGTATTCGGGCAATCACAACGCACTGGATAGCTGGCCAATCACAGCACACCTCGCTTTTCAGACTGAGTTTTGTAAAAATCGACGCGTTTCAGAAAGGTGGGGCATAGAGGAGAAAAAATAATGTACAGTATGTGGAAAATAATGTTTTTTTTAACCTTGAACCGCATAAACACATTGCATTACACCAAATACACAACATAATGTTCTTTTTAGCAACGTCATATGACCCCTTTAATATAAACTCATCTATCTGAACTTTCAACAACCAGCTGAGTGAAAATTGTCATTGACACACAAGAGTAATATAAACAAAATAATTTGTCATAAGCAAAATGCCTTAATTTTTCTAGCTCATTTTAAGCCAGTAGTTCATGATAAAAGCCTAGGTTTGATGGACATTTTTAATCTTAATTTGTAATTGTACTTTAATTTTAATTTGATTTTAAAACTAATCCTTACACATGTTTAGGTGCAGCATATAGTCAGATTGATTTAGTCAGTCACATGAAAAGTTTTTGACTTTGACCTTTGCATAACTCTTGTAGTACATATTTCAGTCTCTGAGAAAACATTCTTACAAAGTTGATTTACTTTAAAACTAACAATAAATAAAAGGCAACGTGTTGTTCTAAAAACATTGAGGTTGCAGAACAGTTTGAAACATTAGCTATCGATATTGTACATGACGGACAATATTACGACAAATCTATGGCTCATTCTGTCCCATTACCAAACAACTGCAGCAGGAACGTGAACAAGTACACAATATCCAGGTAGAGACTGAGTGTTGCAAAGATATATTCTTCAGGACTCATTGCATATTGCTTGGTCCCCATCAGCAGCTGTGTATCAAAAGCGAGAAACTGGGACAGAAGAAGTGAGAGAAGAGAAAGAGACACGGGTCAGTTGACCTTATATCACCTTAATCACATGACAAATAATCATCATTTAAAACCATAATCCTTTCTTGACTAATCTGCTTCTCACCATCGTGAAGACAACAGCTCCTATGCTGGCATAGACCGCATGTAACCAGGGAACCTTTCAAAAGACAAAGCAGTTAGAACGTGACTAGAATCTTTATTTGGACTCTTAATGCTTTTTTACAGATTAGGACTGGTATTATTAGCCAGAATCAAAAAAATAAAAATAATAAAATACAGTGCTGCCAAACTTTGTTTGGTAAATTGAGCGGAAAACTCAGAGGTGTTCAGGTGCTGCTGCAGTTATGTTGATTTGAGAAAGCCATCATACTGCTATCCTGTTTAAACTTAAAATTATTCTTCTCCTGAGGCTAACATTTCTGACCGTAACTCCTAGAGTTTTAGAGCTACAGCCATCAAAATACGCTAGCAACATGAAAACATTACTTAATTGTCTGTAACAATTGCTTATTAAGGACATATTATGCATGGCCATATTTTAGATCCCATAATCCTACCCCATACCTAAACTTAACAACTACTTCACTAACTATTAAGTAAGGAATAACTGACGACGGGCCTTTGAATTATTAGGAAATAATGCACACCGGAGTCAATTATTCCACTTATGCTATGGTTACCACACCTCAAATATTGTTCAGATGATGCATTTAAAGACATTTGTCAGGTTTTTCTCCTTAAAACGCTATTGTGAGTATGATTAATTTCTTACACATCTCATCCCACACCTCAGTTGATAATTCTAAAACATAATTTTTAGGGCCGGATTTATGCACAGGCATTCTAGGCATGTGCCTATGAACTGCTATCCATACTGCTACTCCTGAGGCTAACATTTCTGACCGTAACTCCTAGAGTTTTAGAGCTACAGCCATCAAAATACGCTAGCAACATGAAAACATTACTTAATTGTCTGTAACAATTGCTTATTAAGGACATATTATGCATGGCCATATTTTAGATCCCATAATCCTACCCCATACCTAAACTTAACAACTACTTCACTAACTATTAAGTAAGGAATAACTGACGACGGGCCTTTGAATTATTAGGAAATAATGCACACCGGAGTCAATTATTCCACTTATGCTATGGTTACCACACCTCAAATATTGTTCAGATGATGCATTTAAAGACATTTGTCAGGTTTTTCTCCTTAAAACGCTATTGTGAGTATGATTAATTTCTTACACATCTCATCCCACACCTCAGTTGATAATTCTAAAACATAATTTTTAGGGCCGGATTTATGCACAGGCATTCTAGGCATGTGCCTATGCTCATAAGTCCAGGGGGGCCCAATTACAATGTAGAGAAATATTTATAATTTTTATACCACGGGCAACTTACAACAGCAAAAGCACCAAAACCCCAAACGACATTGAGCAAATAAATTTAATAAACAATAGGATAAAACTATTTCCATGTTTTCCACCTTTTAAGTCTATGGAAAGCACACTTTTCCACTGTGTAGTACGACTCGGCTCGGCCCGGCACGGCGCGGCATGGTTCGGCTCGGCACGGTTTGCATTTCCACTGTAGTTCAGTTCCGCTTTAAAGTGGGCGAGATTATTCACATGTCGTTATAGTTGCGCTGCCTCTACTACCACGACTCCTAAAAAAAACTTTTTCATTCCGCGTCGCCCCATCAAGCTCTCGCTGGATCCGCTCCTCTGCTATCAACGAGAGGAATGTCTGTACTTCCTCAACAGACAAAACTTTTTGGTTGTTAAAAAGGTGCGCTCATTCAAAACAGTTGCGTTCGATCCTTCTCTGGCTGTGCTGATTTAAATCTAGCGGTTCTTTTGTGTTTGTGTCGCAAGTTCAGTGACGCAGGTAGTGATGATTCTCTCCGGCCAATCCGTGATCAGCAGAGTTTACACGTCACGTTTTGGTAACGGTACGGTTCACTTAGAACCCCAACCGAGGTGGTACTAAAATAGTAACAGGTACCAGGAAAACCCACCAAAAGTGAATCGTACCGAGCCGTACCGTGCCGTACCATGCAGTGGAAAAGCACCATTTCTTTCTCCCTAGGCACACACATACAGTACATGACAAATGTCTTGAAATAAAACCTCTGCGAACAATGTCTTGAGGTCCAGGCCATTGAATTGTTAGAAATATAATGTACACCCGAGGTGGTAATGCAGGCATGACTCCAGTCAACATTCCTTAATTAAATGGTCCTTCTCTGTTCTCAAACGAGTGAGAACTATATTGAATCTTCAGTGCCTGAATGCAATGGATGAACATCGTAATCCACGGAAACCGTTACTGTGTCGCAATTAGTGAATATAGAGTAATTATTATGATATATCATTATTTTTGTTTGCTGTTTTGGGGTGGTAATATTATATATTAATAAGGGGGGCCCATTTTTTAAATATTTTTTTGCCTATGTCACAAGAGGTAAATCTGGCCCTAGTCCTAGCAACAGAGGCTTGAACCTTTAATAGCAGACTAATAATGACGTTTTTAGAGAGAGAGAGAGAGATTAGTCATGTGTGAATTACGTCTGTGAGTTTGTGTCTCTCAACAGTGTTCAGTAGCAACGTCTCTACTAATAGTGAAAATGTAAGTTCATCTGCTTCATGAACAGTGCCGTAGTATTTCGCTAATGAGAAATGACATGTAGCTTTGAATTTATTGAAACATTTTACTGAAAATTAGGGGTGTAAGAAAATATCGATACACGGGAGTATCGCAATATTTTGTTTAGCGATACAGTATCGATTCTCAAAAACCCAATATCGATATATATATATCTTTTTAATGTATACAAGATTTATGGCAGTTGTTTCGTTTTGAGTTTATATCCCGACCGCTATATAGCAGTCTTCTTACCTCTGAACTTAAACAGTGAAAACGTGTGTGTTCCGCTCCTGCAAGGTTTGTCCAGTCCCCCCGCTCCAGCAAACATTCTAATATTTCATATAATTTTCGCGTATCAGGGCGTCACTATCAATGGGGAGTATTTAAAACTTTTTTGAATGTGCGCTCACGTTGTTCACTTTCGCGATCACGCACACTCTGTGTAAAGGGAACGCATCTTTCGATACAAGATATTTGTCAATGAGCTCCGGATCTGTTGAGTAGCAAATCCTCCACCATGGTCTTGTAGGTCATCCCTCCTCTCGACCCATGATCAGTCAAATCTGACTCCTGCAAGTGAAAGCACTTAATTGTTCCCCTTGTACTTGTACTGCACACAAAGTGGTTCAATAGCGTTAAATGTTACAGGGACAGATTAATACAAATGCAGATCCCACTGTGTTCTGGTAAAAAATAAAATAAAAAAAAATTATATATATATATATATATAGATAGATAGATAAACAGATTTTTTTTGTTAAGGTTTGCATATATGGTGGTGTGTTCTAAATGACAGTTTTCCTAAAATTATATCCTATTCTCCTAAAATAAGAAATATCCCAATATATAGTCTTGCTTACAGTATCGCAATATATCACAACATATCATATCGCAACCCCTGTATAGTGATACGTATATTATCGCCAAATTCTTGTCGATACACAGCCCTAGATAAAATTGTAGAGCAGCCCTGACAACACGTTTCTGTGCACATGTATGTTTCTGTTTGTGTGTGTGCGCATTTGTAAGGGAGAGAGAGCGGGAGAAAGAGAGTATGTGCTTTCCATAAAAATAATAAATACATAACATGTTTCGTGGCAAAAACATGGAAATAATTTGTCATTTTTATCCAATTGTTTACTATAAATATTTGCTTGTTCAGTGTAATTTTGGGTTTTGGCTCTTTTGCTGTAAGGACCTTTGAAATAACTGAAATCATTTGGCGAAGTGATATGGACTCAATGCTGTGAAGACCTGCCTGGAACTACGTTTACCGTCTGTTTTGCTGAAAATAATTGCACACCATTTTTTGCACACATTTGTCAACCAATCAGATTCAAGCATTCAACAGCCACATAGTATAATAAGCAGCAATTAGGAGTTTGAGGCAAAAGTCGTAGTTAATAGTTCGTAATTAATCGTAGTTAGAGACTGCATGACCTTAACACCTTTAAATGTTGAGCTTTTAAAACTACTTTAAACTAAAAACTGCTTCAAGCTTTTAAAACTAATTCAAATTTTCATCTCAGGCTTTCTCAAGCCAACATCAAAGTTTGTCTTGACAAACTTTTCTTTATTTAAACTAATCTTTTCTTTTATTTACTTATATTTTTGGATACTTACATAACCAAAGGGAACCACAAATCCCACGACAATAGCACAGAAAAACATGACCATGCACAGAATGAAGAGAAGACCTTGGAAAGAGGTGATATCAATCTAGAGAGACAAAAAAAAAAAAACTTTAGAATTGGAATATTATTGTATTTTATGATGTGTATATATCATTGGCAACAGAAATATTATAAAACACACTGATGTTCACTAAAAAAAAGCTTATTGGTATTTTTCTGGCATTTGCTCACCTTGCTCTGAAAGCTGAAGATGGTGACACACAGACACACTGTGGCAGTGATGCCAATGCACAGCACTACAGACTTGGTGTTGTAGAAACTGGCAGAAGCATGAAAAAGGCACCGTTACATTCAGCAGAAATTAAACATCTTTTAGAATTTAGAAAAACATGTTTGGGAAAGCATGCGCACACAACAGATGTGTCATTACCTAGAGATAAAACCCAACATGCAAGCCATGCTCAGAGTCTGTGTTTGCAAGATGGTCAGAGAAGCATGGAAAATAAATGACAGAGGGGGAAAAAAAAGAACATTTGTAAATGCATTAATGAAATGTAAATTGCAATGTAATTTTTTTTAATGTATACATGTTTTTTTAAGTTTGACATAAGTTCTAGAAATTCTAAAATACTAGAAATTAAGACCAAAGGCTGACATGCATTTTACTTGTGGTGATGGACTGTTTTAAGCATGCAAGTGTACAACTATAATTCAAAGTGGATGACATTTTAAAGGAATAGTCCCCCCTGAAAAACAAAAGGGAAAAAATATGCTTGGTTATTTCTCTCTTTTTTTTCCCCCTATCGTTTTTTTCTTCATCAGAACAGATTTGGGAAAATGTAGCATTGCATCATTTGCTCACCAATGGATGCTCTGCAGTGAATGGGTGCCGTCAGAATGAGAGTCCAAACAGCTGATAAAAACATCACAATAATCCACAAGTAATTGTCACGATTTGCCTACTGGTGGAGACAAGGAGACGTAAGCGTTAACACAAAACAAGTCTTTAATCATCCAGGAGGGGGACACACACACACACACACACACACACACACACACACACACACACACACACACACACACACACACACACACACACACACACACACACACAGGAACAACAGATTAGCACATGATGTAAGACACCGGACAGAAAGCAAGGGGCAGACCACACTATAAATACACAACTCAATGAGAATAATTGGGGAATCACAGGTGAACGGAATTACTAATTAGACAGGGGAGAAACTAGGTAACTGGGAACACATGGGGAGGAAAACCAACACACTGACAGTCCAAGGGCGTGACTGTAATCCACACCACTCCAGTCCATCAATTAGCAGGTTGTGAAGTGAAAAGATAAATGTGTTTGTAAGAAACAAATCCATCAAGACGTCTTTAATTTCAAATCATTGCTCCTGCTTCCAGTTGAAAACCATATAAAATATTTCTAAACAGATATGTGTGTGACTTCTGATGTGAGAGGACAACAGGCGATGGACTTTATTATGGATTTACATTATTATGGATTATGGACTCATATTTTGGCCAAGAGCAATGATTTGAATTTAAACATGTTTTAATGATAGATTTGTTTCTTACAAACACAGTTTTTTACTTCTCCAGATGTTAACTGATGGACTGGAGTGGTGTGGATTACTTGTGGATTATTGTGATGTTTTTATCAGCTGTTTGGACTCTCATTCTGACGGCACCCATTCACTGCAGAGCATCCATTGGTGAGCAAGCGATGTAATGCTACATTTCTCCAAATCTGATGAAGAAACAAACTCATCTGCATCTTGGATGACCAGAAGGTGAGTACATTTACAGCAAATGTTCATTTTTGGGTGAACTATTCCTTTAATGTATCTTTAAACTGATACTCACAAAGATTGTAAGAAGAATAAGATTCCATGGAAACTGCCTCCTGCAATACAGAAATGAAAAGACGGATGCCAATATGATATTATAATGTTTTCCTAATTATTGAGTGTATAACCAGTACATTACCACAACTGCAATTTATTAACAGTGTATTGACTTACCTCAAATCACCGCAGCAAGCCAATGAGATATATGTGACAAGAAACAGAAGACTGCAAAACACAGACATAGCTTGAGTTACAGATCCAGTGAGTATACTGAAATAAATGCCCAAGTGATGAACATTTTAAAGCAGTAAACATTTTTGCATTACTGATTAAACTGTAGTTTCACGTACTTGGACCAGGAGTATAAAACAGGATGTGTTTGAATGTACATCCTCACTGGAGCACTAAAGCAAACAGAAAGGGGTCAGCAGTGTCAAATGGTCAATATGAAATATAATATGCTTACACATAATTGATTCATAACATAAATTATTGTTCAAAAGTTTGGGGTTAGTAAGATTTTCACATTTATGCATTTAGCAGATGCTTTTATCCAAAGCGACTTACAGTGCATTCAGGCTATACATCTTCTTTTTTTTTCTTTACCAGTATGTTTGTTCCCTGGGAATTGAACCCATGACATGTTGCGCTGCTAATGCAACACTCTACCACTGAGCTACGGGAGATTTTGTTCTGTTTTTGAAAGTAGTCTCTTCAGCTCATCGAGGCTCATTTATTTGATCAAAAATAAATACAGTGGAAAACAGTAATATTGTGAAATATTACTACAAATTAAAAGAACTGTTTGAATATAATGTAAAAAGTAATTTATTGCTGTAATGCAAATCTGAACTTTCAGCATCATTACTCCATTCTTCAGTGTCACGTGATCCTTCAGAAATCATTCTAATATGCTGATTTGCTGCTCAAGAAATATTATCAGTGATAAAATCAATATATTTGTGAAAACTTACTGTCCTCAAACGTTTGACTGTTAGTGTAATTCAGTGATGAGACATTGTCACATATCATACCTTCAAGATTTACAGAATAAAGAATCAGTTACTCACCAGAATGTGAAGAGAGCAATAACTGCTACTGTTGAAAAGAGCTGCAGCATCAGAATCGAATAAACCTGCAAGAATATGATAGGAGTAAGAGCAATAGTTTTTTGCAGGCATTTTGATTTGATAGTCCTCTATACTTGACATAATTAAGTTGAAATATTTCAATTGCTAACCTTTCGTATAAAAACTCGTCTAATATACATGTCATCCCAGGAAAAAGTTCCTTCACCATAGTAGTAACCAGGACATCCTGCAAAGAGAAAATAAAAAACAGAAAATATTATATATCTGACAAAAGGCAGAATGTTAGTTCTAATGAAAGAATGAATGAATGACTGCACAGCTATACCTGCATTTGCCTCTTCATAGCTTGGAGGCATGTTTCCTTCAACAGTTTGGACTGTTGGTGCAACCTGTGAATACAAACATATTGAGAAAATATTAAGGGCATGTGATATAGTGTGCTATCAGTGCTGCCAAATAATGACCTGAAATAATCATTTAATTTAAATGAATACACTGAGCAAACTCTCATCTTTGGTAAACACATATACAACAAGAAAGCAAGAAAGAAATCTTGGATACAATGTTTGTATAACTGCAGTGTTGCTTATAAGCTCATAGATATGATCCGATCCAGTTCAGAGATGAACAGACCTGTGCAAAATAAACCATCAGATATAGGACAGATCATTTAGATTTTATGCATGATTGCAAGATTTAAGATTGTCACATGTTTTATTTAGAGAATGAATAAAACTGGTAATGTTTTATAAGGAAGCTTGAGCTATAAATAGTCAGAATAATCTCCTGCCGCTGTAGAAGCAGTGTCTTCTGAGGTTTTACTACACTGCTTCTGAAATGTTGTTCTATGAACATGAATATTTTGCTCAGTTTTAATGCCACTAAATATAAACCCATTATTTTATATATTGATATCATATCTAATGTTAATTCACTTCTGCTACTTTGCTTACAGTGTTTGAAGAAAGTCTCCTGAATTCTATTATGTTCCATTCTATTCGAGTAATTGTTCAAATGATACCTTACCTTTTTCTGTGTCATTTTATTTATGTATTTATTTATTTTCCCACTGCAGTGCTGCTGGCGGATGATATGATCTGGGTTATCAGAGTCAGCAGTTGTAGTCCTTTGTGCTGGATGTGGGTCAGTCTGTGCTTCATGTGTGCTGCAGTGCAGATTTACTCATGTCTGATATAGTTTATTCAGACTAATCCCTCTTACATTCCCATCGGTCCCTCCTCCACACAGGGCTTTAGGAATGATGGGACTGAGCGGGAAAATACCACCTTCAACTCAGAAGTTGGGCTTTCACTTGAAAATAGTATCGCTATATTTAGAGTCATGTAGAATAATGGATGAACCCAGCCTAAAGGATAAAGGTGATGCTACATAAGTATAAAGATGAAATCATTTGAGAAGATAATGTGTGCAGTTGGTAATAAACAACAACCACACAAATATTGACTATTTAGAGTATGGGTCATTTCAGAAATGTGCCATTTTAAAAAAAAATGTATTTATTTATAATGTATTTAATACATGATATGTGTCAAATAATATGTATTCAATACATATTTTCATAAAAAACAGTTATGATTGAAATAGGGTTGACATAACTTAGGGAAACAAATACACTGTCATGAATTGCTCTGAGACACGAAGGCTGAGGATCCAAACACAGTGTTTATTCAGAGGGTAATCCACAATTGTGCTCCAAACACAGGCTAAAGTCAAAACAGTCCAAACAATAACAAGAAACACATACAAAGAGTAGTCCAGAACAAGGGACAGACGAAACCAAGACACAGGATAACAGGAAACAATGGCTCAGAAATGGCGTACAAAACACATGCAAGACTTCACAGTCAATGAATGAACCAGACTATAGGATGAGCAGACAGGATTAACGAGACACAGGTGAAAACAATGAGTGCAGATGAGTCCGGGCAAAGGATTATGGGAAATTAACTCCCAAGACTGCGTGACAGAGGTATGAGATGCTGGTGATCCCGACAAACCCCTTTTTTTTTTTTTT